ATGTTGCGTTTGACCGAATAGCACTATTTGCAGCAATGTGCAAAAATAAGTTTTTTCCAACATTTTGTCATATCTCACGAACTATTGGACCAATCGAGCTGTAACTCAGCGCGTTGTGCTCAGCATGTTGCGTTTGACCGAATACCACTATTTGGTGCAATGTGCAAAAATAAGTTTTTTCCAACATTTTGTCATATCTCACGAACTATTGGACTAATTGAGCTGAAACTCAGCGCGTTGTGCTGAGCATCAACACCGCTTGACCGAATAGCACTATTTGCAGCAATGTGCAAAAATAAGTTTTTTTCAACATTTTGCCATATCTCACGAACTATTGGACCAATCGAGCTGAAACTCAGCGCGTTGTGCTCAGCATCAACACCGCTTGACCGAATAGCACTATTTGCAGCAATGTGCAAAAATAAGTTTTTTCCAACATTTTGCCATATCTCACGAACTATTGGACCAATCGAGCTGAAACTCAGCGCGTTGTGCTCAGCATCATGCGTTTGATCGAATAGCACTATTTGCTGCAATGTGCAAAAATAAGTTTTTTCCAACATTTTGTCATATCTAACGAACTATTGGACCAGTCGAGCTGAAACTCAGCGCGTTGTGCTCAGCATTTTGCGTTTGACAGAATAGCACTATTGCAGCAATGTGCAAAAATAAGTTTTTTCCAACATTTTGTCATATCTCACGAACTATTGGACCAATCGAGCTGAAACTCATCGCGTTGTGCTCAGCATGTTGCGTTTGACCGAATAGCACTATTTGCAGCAATGTGCAAAAATAAGTTTTTTCCAACATTTTGTCATATCTCACGAACTATTGGACCAATCGAGCTGAAAGTCAGCGCGTTGTGCTCAGCATGTTGCGTTTGACCGAATAGCACTATTTGAGCAATGTGCAAAAATAAGTTTTTTCCAACATTTTGTCATATCTCACGAACAATTGACCAATCGAGCTGAAACTCAGCGCGTTGTGCTCAGCATCGTGCGTTTGATCGAATAGCACTATTTGCTGCAATGTGCAAAAATAAGTTTTTTCCAACATTTTGTCATATCTCACGAACTATTGAACCAATCGAGCTGAAACTCAGCGCGTTGTTCTCAGCAGGTTGCGTTTGACCGAATAGCACTATTTGCTGCAATGTGCAAAATAAGTTTTTTCCAACATTTTGTCATATCTCACGAACTATTGAACCAATCGAGCTGAAACTCAGCGCGTTGTGCTCAAGCAGGTTGCGTTTGACCGAATAGCACTATTTGCTGCAATGTGCAAAAAGAAGTTTTTTCCAACATTTTGTCATATCTCACGAACTATTGAACCAATCGAACTGAAACTCAGCTCGTTGTGCTCAGCAGGTTGCGTTTGACCGAATAGCACTATTTGCAGCAATGTGCAAAAATAAGTTTTTTCCAACATTTTGTCATATCTCACGAACTATTGAACCAATCGAGGTGAAACTCAGCGCGTAGTGCTCAGCAGGTTGCGTTTGAACGAATAGCACTATTTGCAGCAATGTTCAAAAATAAGTTTTTCCAACATTTTGTCATATCTCACGAACTATTGAACCAATCGAGCTGAAACTCAGCGGTTGTGCTCAGCTGGTTGCGTTTGACCGAATACCACTATTTGCAGCAATGTGCAAAAATAAGTTTTTTCCAACATTTTGTCATATCTCACGAACTATTGAACCAATCGAGCTGAAACTCAGCGCGTTGTGCTCAGCAGGTTGCGTTTGACCGAATAGCACTATTTGCAGCAATGTTCAAAAATAAGTTTTTGCCAACATTTTGTCATATCTCACGAACTATTGAACCAATCGATTTGAAACTCAGCTCGTTGTGCTCAGCAGGTTGCGTTTGACCGAATAGCACTATTTGCAGCAATGTGCAAAAATAAGTTTTTTCCAACATTTTGTCATATCTCACGAACTATTGAACCAATCGAACTGAAACTCAGCGCGTTGTGCTCAGCAGGTTGCGTTTGACCGAATAGCACTATTTGCTGCAATGTGCAAAAACAAGTTTTTTCCAACATTTTGCCATATCTCACGAACTATTGAACCAATCGAGCTGAAACTCAGCGCGTTGTGCTCAGCAGGTTGCGTTTGACCGAATAGCACTATATGCTGCAATGTGCAAAAATAAGTTTTTTCCAACATTTTTTCATATCTCACGAACAATTGAACAACTCGAGCTGAAACACAGCGCGTTGTCTCAGCAGGTTACGTTTGACCGAATAGCACTATTTGCTGCAATGTGCAAAAATAAGTTTTTTCCAACATTTTGTCATATCTCACGAATTATTGCACCAATCGAGCTGAAACTCAGCGCGTTGTGCTCAGCAGGTTGTGTTTGACCGAATAGCACTATTTGCTGCAATGTGCAAAAATAAGTTTTTTCCAACATCTTGTCATATCTCACGAATTATTGAACCAATCGAGCTGAAACTCAGCGCGTTGTGCTCAGCAGGTTGCGTTTGACCGAATACCACTATTTGCAGCAATGTGCAAAAATAAGTTTTTTCCAACATTTTGTCATATCTCACGAAGTATTGAACCAATCGAGCTGAAACTCAGCGCGTTGTGCTCAGCAGGTTGCGTTTGACCGAATAGCACTATTTGCTGCAATGTGCAAAAATAAGTTTTTTCCAACATTTTGTCATATCTCACGAACTATTGTACCACTCGAGCTGAAACAGAGCGCGTTGTGCTCAGCAGATTGAGTTTGACCGAATAGCACTATTTGCTGCAATGTGCAAAAATAAGTTTTTCCAACATTTTGTCATATCTCACGAACTATTGAACCAATCGAGCTGAAATTCAGCGCCTTGTGCTCAGCAGGTTGTGTTTGACCGAATAGCACTATTTCCAGCAATGTGCAAAAATAAGTTTTTTCCAACATTTTGTCATATCTCACGAACTATTGAACCAATCGAGCTGAAACTCAGCGCGTTGTGCTCAGCAGGTTGCGTTTGAGCGAATAACACTATTTGCTGCAATGTGCAAAAATAAGTTTTTTCCAACATTTTGTCATATCTCACGAACTATTGAACCAATCGAGCTAACACTCGGCGCGTTGTGCTCAGCAGGTTGCGTTTGACCGAATAGCACTATTTGCAGCAATGTGCAAAAATAAGTTTTTTTCCAACATTTTGTCATATCTCACGAACTATTGAACCAATCGAGCTGAAACTCAGCGCGTTGTGCTCAGCTGGTTGCGTTTGACCGAATAGCACTATTTGCTGCAATGTCCAAAAATTAGTTTGTGCAACATTTTGTCATATCTCACGAACTATTGAACCAATCGAGCTGAAACTCAGCGCGTTGTGCTCAGCAGGTTGCGTTTGACCGAATAGCACTATTTGCTGCAATGTGCAAAAATAAGTTTTTTCCAACATTTTGTCATATCTCACGAACTATTGAACCAATCGAGCTGAAACTCAGCGCGTTATGCTCAGCAGGTTGCGTTTGACCGAATAGCACTATTTGCAGCAATGTGCAAAAATAAGTTTTTTCCAACATTTTGTCATATCTCACGAACTATTGAACCAATCGAGCTGAAACTCAGCGGTTTGTGCTCAGCAGGTGGCGTTTGACCGAATAGTGCTATTTGCTGCACTGTGCAAAAATAAGTTTTTTCCAAACATTTTGTCATATCTCACGAACTATTGAAGCAATCGAGCTGAACTCAGCGCGTTGTGCTCAGCAGGTTGCTTTGACCGAATAGCACTATTTGCTGCAAAGTGCAAAAATAAGTTTTTTCCAACATTTTGTCATATCTCACGAACTATTGAACCAATCGAGCTGAAACTAAGCGCGTTGTGCTCAGCAGGTTGCGTTTGACCGAATAGCACTATTTGCAGCAATGTGCAAAAATAAGTTTTTTCCAACATTTTGTCATATCTCACGAACAATTGAACCAATCGAGCTGAAACTCAGCGCGTTGTGCTCAGCAGGTTGCGTTTGACCGAATAGCACTATTTGCAGCAATATGTAAAAATAAGTTTTTGCCAACATTTTGTCATATCTCACGAACTATTGAACCAATCGAGCTGACAACTCAGCGCGTTGTGCTCAGCAGGTTGCGTTTGACGGAATAGCACTATTTGCTGCACTGTGCAAAAATAAGTTTTTCCAACATTTTGTCATATCTCACGAACTATTGAACCAATCGAGCTGAAACTCCGCGCGTTGTGCTCAGCAGGTTGCGTTTGACCGAATAGCACTATTTGCAGCAATGTGCAAAAATAAGTTTTTTCCAACATTTTGTCATATCTCACGAACTATTGACCCAATCGAGCTGCTACTCAGCGCGTTGTGCTCAGCAGGTTGCGTTTGACCGAATAGCAGTATTTGCAGCAATGTGCAAAAATAAGTTTTTTCCAACATTTTGTCATATCTCACGAACTATTGACCCAATCGAGATGTTACTCAGCGCGTTGTGCTCAGCAGGTTGCGTTTGACCGAATAGCACTATTTGCAGCAATGTGCAAAAATAAGTTTTTTCCAACATTTTGTCATATCTCACGAACTATTGAACCAATCGAGCTGAAACTCAGCGCGTTGTGCTCAGCAGGTTGCGTTTGACCGAATAGCACTATTTGCTGCAATGTGCAAAAATAAGTTTTTTCCAACATTTGTCATATCTCACGAACTATTGAACCAATCGAGCTGAAACTCAGCGCGTTGTGCTCAGCAGGTTGCGTTTGACCGAATAGCACTATTTGCTGCAATGTGCAAAAATAAGTTCTTTCCAACATTTTGTCATATCTCACGAACTATTGAACCAATCGAGCTGAAACTCAGCGCGTTGTGCTTAGCAGGTTGCGTTTGACCGAATAGCACTATTTGCTGCAATGTGCAAAAATAAGTTTTTTCCAACATTTTGTCATATCTCACGAACTATTGAACCAATCGAGGTGAAACTCAGCGCGTTGTGCTCAGTAGGTTGCGTTTGACCGAATAGCACTATTTGCTGCAATGTGCAAAATAAGTTTTTTCCAACATTTTGTCATATCTCACGAACTATTGAACCAATCGAGCTGACACTCAGCGCGTTGTGCTCAGCAGGTTGCGTTTGACCGAATAGCACTATTTGCTGCAATGTGCAAAAATAAGTTTTTTCCAACATTTTGTCATATCTCACGAACTATTGAACCAATCGAGCTGAAACT